AAAAATAAACCAACCAAACCAGACCCAAAACATGTGTGGCAATAAGAGACCAGTTAAAAAGCCTGCAACGAAACTGCATCCTCAACAGCGTCAGCAGTCGCTCGTGTTAGCTCTGGGTCCGTCTGTGCGCCGAGGAGGGGAAGTATTTGCCATGCACCCATGCTCACTTCTGGCTGAACACATGGGGAGAGATCATGCAAAGCTCGACAGGAGCAAGCCAGTCTGGCAAAGTGGTCAATGGAGGAGAGGGCTTCTGCCGCGGCGGGGACGTGTCCTGCACAACCCCGGTGCCTTTGCACAATCATTGACTGAAGAAAATGCTGTATTCGTCTTTCTGAAGCCTTTTTTGCCCCAACCCACTGAATTCCTACAGCCAGGCCCTAACATTTCATGAGTACAGACATCTGTGTCCCTTAAAACTCGATTTTTGTTGTTTCTGCCCAACATCAGCACTATTGCTCTGCAGACTAAGGAGTCAGGGGTTTCTTTGTATGGACTGGCTGACTTTGCCTCAGCAAGTAACAGAAAACCGTGTATTTATTTCCTGGTGCGTGCCCTAAAGGCTCCTGAGGACAAGCAGTTCAAATCCTTCTTATTTGTCTTCTCCAGGAAAGGGAGACTGAAATGGGTCTACAAAACAGGGAGACTGAAATGCACCCTAGAAGCATCTTCAGTTTAGGACTGCAGACGTGAACAAAGCTATCAGAAAATAATGGGCTGTTTTCCTGAAGGGGCATAAACCGATCCAATTTCAATAAACAACAGAATAAACAAAACCAGCCCTTCTTTTCTACTGGAGAAGCTATTTACCACACAAATCTTGTTCACTCGTTACTGATGACTTTGGCTGCTCAGGTTGGTTTGTTGTCAAAACGAAGTATTTCAGAAAACATTCTTCATGTTCCAGTATCAGCATTTAGAAAGGAAATTTTAAGGAAGCCAAGTGTGGTAACACATCTGCTTTTTGACATTTTCTGAGGCTTGGCAGCTTGAAAAGCACTGGCATAATTTCTAATAAATAATCCTGCTCAAATTTGCCACTGCTGTCTATTTATGCTGGTTCTTAAATATTTCAATAATCTCAGCACAACACAGCAAAAGACAGGCTGGCAGTGGCTGAGATTGAATTGTGCTAAATGTATTGCTTTGACAGCAAATTTTAAACTTCACAGGAAGATGAAATGGATTTTTTCGACATTTTCTTAAACCACCATCTTAAAAATAAGCGTCACTTATCACAACAGCTGTGTCTGCCACAGACCAGCTGCATTTGTGTTAGGGTCTTACTGACAGGGAATTTCTAACCACTATTGGAAGCTGCATCAGAAACAGCTCCGTTGGTTCCCCTCAGGGGCCCTGGGGTCACTCAGGTTTCTGTTTCCTAAAGATCAGACAGGCAATGGAGCCCCAGACACCTAAAGGTGACTGAGACACTAAGGAGCATTGACACCAACTGCAACAGGGGACAGGGTACTGTGTTTCGCAGCATCTCCCTGCTAGAAAACCATAAAGTTTCATTTTTGGCTTTATTGCTTATTTACTGGAGATGAAACAACACACTAGAAAGTACCTCAGTCACAGGTCAGCCCGTTTCCTGTCTTCCCTTGTTCCCCAGAGTTTTAGGAGGTTCAGCCATGTCTCACTTCTCTGTGACTCAGGACAGGAGATTTTGGTACCACCTGAGCAACTGGAAACGCTGGGTGTGCTCCTTCCCCTTAACAGAGCTGCTGAGCAGGGAGGCTGAGAACATCCAGGAGACCTGAGATGCTCTTCAAACTAGAAATAAGGTGACCTGGGAAAGGTTTTAGGTGAGGAATACGCTGAATCCCAGTAATGAGGACATGAGCCTACCAGTTAACTCCTCACTTCCCAGGAGAGCTGCCAGTGCATGACAGTATTTCCTTGGGAATTTTAGTCACTTTGGCTTTCCACAGTCTCTACTTCAGGAGCAGCAAACTCTCAGAGCAATAATGTGTAATCTTCTGAAGGGCATTTCATGTGACAGTGAGCAACGTACCTTCACGCCTTCGTTGTAGCTGTCCACGGGGCTGTTGAGGCTCGCAAGGCTGCCCAAATGGCTGGGGGCTCCAGGGCGGGGAGGTTTCTTTGGCGGAGCTGCGTGATCTGGTTAACAAAACAATCTGCATTTTAGAGGACCAATGTATCGGAGGTAACTGCATTTTGGTCTGTCAGCACTACAAAGGCCACACGTGCTTTCCTGTACTAGCAGAGGAGACGTACATCTTTATGTGTCTTACAGTAAATCCACTGTTTGTAGGAGTTACACTTTAATCTGTGTTTCTACTGAAGAAAGGCAGGCAGAAAAGGCTATGGAATTCATCAAGTTTTCCTGCCATTATAAGAACATGGCTGTTTTAGTAAGATACTTCAAAAATCCCTTCGTGAGGCCACTGCTACCCATCTGAGTACCCCTACCCCAGACCTGAGAGGTACTCACCCCTTTGTACCACACATACTGCATACGTCTGGGAAAACTGGGTCTTCTTTCTGGCAGAAATCCTGGGTGTGATTCACTTTGAGATTGAGAAACCTAAATTTAGGTGTCTACTTTTGTTTTACATGTCTGAACTGCACACATGGTGAAGTTCTACACAGTGACTCAGCTTCCTCTAGACACTTTGACGAAACGCTTTCTTGGCTTTGCTGACTACATCTCCAGGGACTGCACGGGGAATTTAAACACGTAGTGCACCGAAACATCTATGTGTAGTTATCTGGAATTGAATCCTCTTCCTTCCATGAAAATACTGGCATATATCTTTGTACCCTATTGCTGCTACAAGACTTGTAATCAAGGATTCCAGATGATAGTATATGAATTTACTGCTTACCTGGTTTACCCACAGGCTGATATATGTGCTGGTTACCAGCCTAGAAAAGAAAATGTACATTTAGACAGTGCTCAAAAGTTTCACCAGCACAACGTGAAGCACTGAGAGCAGCCAGATCTCAGCACAATTCCCAACGGTTAAAAATCAATCCTTATTCACCACCATTAGCCCCAAACGACAGGTATATTATTTCTAGAGTAAGAAAATAATTTTCATTTATTTTGTATTGCTCACAACAGCCTTGGCCTTTACGTTAGTTTAGACATGATTATTAATCAAACGTGGTGGTGTATCCACAATCATTTTTAGTCTGTATTCAGAGATCAAACCGTAGAAGTTACGGTGGTGAAGAAGAAATGGCAGCACAACAATCAGAAGACTGAAGGTATTTCTGCACCGCTGAATCGTTTCCCCGATAGTAACAGATTTCTAAGCGGGTTTACTTTTTGTTTTTGTTTCGAAGCTCTTAGCGAATGTCAATTTTCTTCTTCATCTGGAAGTATTTAATAACAGATTGAAGTGACTTTCCTTGGTGATTATCTTTATACCACCTTCATGGCAACCTCAGTTGCTGAGGCAGTGGAGCACTTTAGTGTGGTGCATGGGGGTTCTGAATCAGGAGAACATGAGGGGAGCAGAGAGACCCACCAGGAGCCCACAGTGGCTGAGCAGACCTGGGCAGGGCCACAAGCAGGGGCAGCTGAGCCCCCACACCTATAAAAGAAACCCTGTGAAGCACCACCAAGAACGGCGGGAAGACAGGCCATGGCGTGGCAGTTCGTGGGGAAGGGCCCACAGGAAGCGCGCCATAACTGCCGGGTCAGTCAGGGAGCGATGGTCGCCACCCGGCAGAAGGCCACGGCCTCTCTACGCTCTGCACCCACCACAACAGAGCTCTGGTGGGGACACGCTGCCACCCAGGAGCCAGGCTGTGCCCAGGCCCTGTGTCAAAACCACTTCCATAATGAAATAAAGATGAGTCTTTGTCATAGGAGACTCTACCGAGGGGAACACAAGGCCCAATATGCCAATGGGACCCACTTTTTAGGGAATTCTGCCTTCCTGGGGCCTGGGTTAAAGACGTGAAAGGAAAGCTTCCTACCCTGGTATGGCCCTCAGACTATTATCCTGTGTTGATGTTTCATGTAGGCAATGATGAAGCTGCAACAAGAAGCCTGAGGGCAATCAAGACAGACTTTAAGGGCCTTGGGACAACTGGTCAAGAAATCAGGAGTACACACAGTGTTTTCTATCCTTCCAGTTGCAGCGAATGATGAGGGAAGAAACAAGACGACTCAGCAGATCAATACCTGGCTCTGGGCCTGGTGTCACTGGCAGAATTTTGGGGTTTTTCTCGTTTTTTTGTTTCAATCTACACAACACCAGGCCTGCTGGTGACAGACGGGTACACCTGTCTCAAAGGGTGAAGTATTTGAAAAAATCAAATTTCACTTTCAGGAACCAGCCATAGAGATCAAAGATCCAAAGCCCTGAAACTCTTCTGCTGTCACCAGAAACCTCTGAAACCCCCTGGCCGATCATCTCACACACCGGCATATGGCTGCCCTCTCTGGTTACAACAAACATCTGCTTTCTACCAGCACCATCAGTCACGTCCTTAACTTTGATTCGTGTTGTTAACCAGACTATCTCAAATCTTATAACTCGTGGGGAAAAGAAAAGGGGAGAAGAGAGGAAGGAGAGTAAAATTCCTCTAAAACAACTCCTGCATTCTGACTTCCAGGAAATTGCATATTAAAAGTGTGTGCACGCAGTTACGCAGACATGTGCTCATCAGTTAGGAACTACTAAAATGCGTGTGGTAACTTTTCATTTGTACCACCACAGCCAAGAACAGGATACTGGATTGCTCCTTCTCCCTTCCTGCATCCCTGAACTGTGCAGATGCTGCTGCTCTGAGCAGGAATCAGAGCTGCTGCGCTTTCTGCTCCTCTTCCAACCACGACGACGACTACTCAAATAAAAAAGTCAATTTTTGAAAGTGGGGAAGATGTAAATGACACCTCAGTGGACTGGATTCTGTCCTCACCACCGCCACAGAAATCTGTGTTACACTGGACAAGTATTTAATCATATTTCTCGTAGAAATGACTCCTGTCTATTTCTCACCCTTTCGATGAGAAATTGAGGTTGACTCACAGAAGCCTTAGACATTTCCCACTGCAAAGGAAGTCAGTCAGAGTTATGTTCTGAATGTATCAAGAACTATAAAAAATGCAAAATCAAGTTCTGGAACTAGAAATTTTGTGCTCACAAATTAGAGCCTCTTTTAAACCTCATTTTGTCAATGATCACTCCACACTCTTT